ATACAACAACCAGTTCTGCTGGATGAAGAGAAGTCGTATCACTCCGCTTTCTTTCTCATCCCAAGATGCAAAAAAGCAACTTATTAATCGTCTCTTGACAAAAGAGTTGCCATTGTGGATGGGTCAGGGCAGGGAGGGGTAGAATAATAACTCCTTTTATTCCTTCCTACCACATTGGTCACATAAATGGGAACAAGGCATGATCTAGTGTTTGGAATTAATCTCCACCCATAAATTCTCTTAAAATACCACATTTTCTCTGGTCTTTTTCTTCTTTTAAATTTGTACAAAGTATTTCAACATAAGCCACTGTTTTCGTCATCCTGAAAAACAGAATGTAAGGTGGGCAGGGAGGGCTGGGGGGTGGTAGAGAAATCATTCTTTCCAGCAGACTTCCATGAAATACGGTTTTCACTTATTAAAGAGAACATTTCAGAGATAATGGAAAGAGAATTATGTTGAAATGTAATTTTCAATTAATTACTTTTTAAATTATGTTGCCTGATCTCCAAATGGTGCCAAAAATGTGGAGTATAATCAGCTTTAATCTACTGACAGTAATAGCTGTAGGTTATTTTTGTTTGTGGGTAGGTCCCCTTAATTGATCCTTTCTTTTTAAACAATTTATATTGACCCAATATCTGAAAAATGAGCTGTTGAAAAAGGAGATGATGTTACAGGGCCTTGATTCACACATAACGCTATGACAACAATTGCACACATTAGTGCTAGTGCATTAGTGACAATTACATGATTAGCTGTGAAAAGCAATGCTAAAGCATCCCTAGTAAAAGTCCAAGTTTGGAAGATTCATTGATTCTGACAATGTTTCAAAACCTGACTTTTGCCAAAATATGTGGAAAAAAAGACAGGGAGAAAAAAAAAACAACAGAAAAAAACCCAGGAAAAAAACCCAAAAAAAACCCCAGAAAAAAACCCACATGCTCTCACAGGCTGCTCCTACCAAATAGTCCATATGGCCAAATAATATTTGCATATTACAATATGTGGATATTGGACATATATAACTGCCAAAATTTTCCCTTTATGTCTCCTATCAGAAACAATTACTTTGCAATATTTGAGAGCAGCTAGCATGTCTCTTCAAAGAAGTAAACTCAACAAAACCTCTGAAAAGGAAATGGCAAGACTCAATTTTTATGCAATAACTAGATTTTTAAGCATAACCTTGTACTACATTCTCATGTCATTAAAATAAATTGATGCTAATTACTAAAATAAATCTGGAATGTATTCACCAACCAATGCAGTCTCATCTCAGTCTGCTATCTGGGTAAGAAAAAATAAAATTTTGCTACCAGCAGGTTTTCTACATGATTATATATGTGTGTAAGTATGTATATCCATATGTACCACACACATAAATACATATATTTAATACATAAATTTACTAGATATGCTATATTTACTATATAAAGGTGGGGTTTTTTTAAGAAGAAAGAGTGCTAAGGCACATACTTTTAGAAGGATCTTGTAGGAGATTATCACCTAGAGTCTATTTTACATGTATTGCCAATAAAGAATGTTAGAAGAAATATACATAAATTATTACATACTAAACAAAGTGAAGAGTAGATATCTTGCATTCTGTCCCAGCAGAATTGGTCATCTGAAAATTACAATTACTACAGAAGTTAGGAAAAATGGAGTAGGTGGCATGCTTCAGACTAAAACCGAATAAAATAGCAAAATGAACGAATCCCCAAAAAATCCCTGTGTCTGGCCAGGTAATATAAACACCTGTAGAACTGTTTACAAGCACCATATAGTCCTTTATTACCCAACTGCTACAAATAGGATGTAAACCAAAAAACACTATAGCACCACCACAGCACTCATTAGATGGCTTCAGAATTCTGTTATAAATTAAACAAAATTTCAACATTAAATGCTGTTCTCTTAAGAAAATGTTTTTTACTTGTTTCTGTTTCACAGAGTCCAAACACCCATTAGCCAAATACCTCTCCCCTGCTATTTCTTTCACAACATTCATTCAGACATGCAGTGATCAAATGAAGGCACAGGGTAATACAATTAAAATTACAATAATTTAAAACCACAGAAAAATATTTTTCCATTGATATTAAACGCATCTTAGTAAGTAGTTAAATAATATGAAATCTATCACCGATGACTAGCAGAATAAATAGTTATAACTCCTAATTATGTATAAACATTGCACCATTGCATGTATACTTGAGCCGAAAAGCATCAATTTTAAATATTCATTAATGGCAATATAAAAACCAAGAAATACACTAAATGTATCCTTCCTGAAGGAATTTATTTCTGTGTTTATTTCACCTTAAGAAAAGACCAACTTAGCTGATATTTCAAATTAATATGAAAATGAGGATAGCATTTTTCATACTTTATAACTCAGTACCATAATTGGTACCATATTTACACTCTGTTTTCGTGCTGTTAGAGGAGCTGAAATGTTGTCACAGCAGTCTGTCACTTTTCAAATAAAATATGTTAAAAATAACACAGACACCAGTGTGACCGTCCACTTCTTTTTTGTTTTCCTTTAAAAATGCTGCAGTTTTAAGCAGCATATTCTTTGAAATAGAATGGTCCCTCTGGCCTGAATATCAAGACAGCTTAGAATTCTCTATCAACTTCTACCTAAATACCGATAGTGATACCATAATAAACCAAAAAATAAACTCACTCTCTTTTAAAATACTTTGAAACAGTATCTAGTGCACATCAGAACTTGAAAATAGTCCTTGAGTTAGCCATTTAACAAACTATGAGAATTAAACAGGTAACATGTAAATGAAAGCAATACGAGGCTCATAAAGCTTAAACATAAGATACTGTGCAACGCAAAAAAAGTAGGGGAAAAAAGGCTAAAAATGGGATCTGAAGGCAGAGAGGGGAAGTATCAAAAGGGAAGGAAGATATCAAGGAGAGAGAGATGTTAGCACACACTGAGGAAAGAAGACAGAGGGACCACTAAAGATCATAAAAAATGTTCAAAACTGAACAGTTTTGCAGCAGAAATTGACTATCTGAAACATTTTACACCTCGGTGCCCTCAACACTTTCCACAGAAAGCAGGCTCACAGCCAGACTGCCAGCATCTCTGCCTGGCAGGCTTCCCAACTCTCTAGGTATCCAGGAAGCTGTTTCCCTAGAAATTCTGCCTAGAGAGCCAGAAAAACACTGAGTGGCCAGTGTCTGAAGGGTGGAGTTTTCTGCTGGTGACACTCACAAGTTCCTAAATTTTTCTCTTTTGTAGCTAGAAAGATACAACATCCTTTCTTAGTCCTCAGTTTCTTACATGAGGGACAAGCTTCTCCTACATAACAGATAACCTATAATTCTCCACATCCTACTAACCCTACTGTAAATTAGTTCCAATTTCAGTTCCCTTAGTCCCATCATTTGGTCAAAAGCAGAAAGATGTGGTTTCTGCAGTACCTTTTTATAGAAAATTAAATCTTCCTTATCTGTAGTAGAAATACTTCATATATCAGAAGGCAAGGACTTTACAGTAAATTAGTATCTTCTGTCAGATCAAAGAATGTAGGCTGAGGGAAACAGTACAAAAATCCTTCTTTCAATCCGTATTTCTACGTGCTTGAAATTTTAACTAGTTTTCCACTTATGTCAATTGGCCTAAGACACTATCTTTTCTTACAAGTCTTGCCTTGTTCTCAGACCACCGTGGCCACAAGAATACTATTACAGTGTCCCAGTAATATATTTCTCTTCTTCGCGACCAAACCACAATGATGCTTTGCAATCATCTTGTGACCAACTATCACACTCAGCTCTTTATCTAACAATGCCACTAGTCCCAGGGTACACCAAACTCTGCACTAGTGCATTTCATTACATTTCCATTTACTATAGTCCATAACATCATCAAGTTTTTCCAGTATAATATTCAGATTTTTCTCCATTTTAGCAACAATTCCCAAATTTGGTTTAGTGAGTTGACTCTGTTAGTATTCATCTACTTCTTTTGACAAAGTTATTAGCAAAAATACTAATGACAGTAGTCTCAAGACTGGTCCTAGACACACTGCTTTAACCTGAATACCTTCTCTTTCATGATCCATTGCAGTCACTCTGTTGCCTTACTAAAAAAGTAATGTTGGTCATCTGAAGAAAACTGAGCCCTTTTGTGAACAGGGAGTACTTCTCTCAGTAGCACACCTCCAAAAGCTCAACCGGCCTTTGACCCCAGAGAGTGAGGTGTTCCTACAAAACTAATCCTTTCAGTCTCTTAACTTTTTCATTGTTCTCATGTTCTGGCTGCCCCTTCCCAGAGCAGCAGAGCAGGGGCTTTTTAACACCTCTGTGCTACAAAGGAAGAATAATGAGGTCCTTTAAAAAACTAGTTCACTTGATTAATCCTTCTTCCCTAGTTGGTTTTTTTTTATTATTATTGTATTTTTATACCTGGTTTTAGGCTACTGAAGCTTCTCAGGAATAGAGTCTTGGGTTGATGATCAGCTCTTTAACCATTTCTCTTGCAATTGCTGTAAAGTCACAATCGCTTAAAGCACACTATAAGCCTTATTCAAATTATAAAATCTGCATTTTTAAGCCTGCTACATATAAATGGTATTATACGGTTATAGAAACAATATTTAATATTTTTTCTGAGATGTGTTATTGTCATTTCAGAATAATACAAACCATTATGAGATCTCACTAGTAAGCAGAAATTTCTGTGACAAGTATGGAACATGTTAACTACTTGCTTTTAACTTATTTTTCATATTCCTCTCAATTAATGTTAGTAAAATTATGTACTGTGAATGACAAAAATGAAATTCACCTAGTGAAAAAGTCTGCCAGCAGAAAATTAGTGCACTTTGCTCTCAGCTTTAAATATTTGTCTACCTGACAGAATAGCCACATGCAGTATTTATTAATAAGTGACATCTCAGTGGAAATCTACAAAATAAAAGATACTGCTCCTATGCATAACAAAAGGGAAAAAAAATCAAATTACTTACTTGATTAAGTATATCTTGTTTCTGTAACGCATGCAAGGAGAGAAAGAACACACATACATTAGTGCAGTGCCATTAACGCTCAGGCTCTGTTTTTATAATAGAACTATTTTTGTTGAAAGGTTAGTGATGTAGATGAACAAGTTTAAGATATTAGACAGAATATCCCATTTTCTTGCATTAGCACATATGTCAAGAAAATGGTTCTAAGCCAGCATTCTAGTCTTGATTAGAGAGTGCAAGCAATTTATTTTTAACCATGCAATGACAGATAACTAAGGAAAGAAAAAGTAAATATGTTTGTCTTTCATCCCTGTGTGCTTCAAAAACACCATAAAAATTACTCGTTGCCAAGAATAGTTGTTAATGAAACAACTTAATCAGAAGTGAATGCAGTGATAAATTCTATAAATACATTAACAACAAAAGGAGGGCTAAGGAGAATCTCCATCCTTTATTGGATGCGGGGGGAAACAGTGACAAAGAACGAGGAGAAGGCTGAGGTACTTAATGCCTTCTTTGCCTCAGTCTTTAATAGTCAGACCAGTTGTTCTCAGGGTACCCAGCCCCCTGAGCTGGAAGACAGGGACGGAGAGCAGAATGAAGCCCCCATAATCCAAGGGGAAATGGTTAGTGACCTGCTACACCACTTAGACACACACAAGTCTATGGGGCCAGGTGGAACTCACCCAAGGGTACTGATGGAGCTGGTGGTAGTGCTCA